GAAATTGTATGATTTGAAAGGGCCTGTTGCGGATTGATAGCCACAAACGAACGACCTTAATTGCTAGCCCCAAATTTAATATTTTGTCTCTTAAGATTGTTGCAATTCTTCCCACAATAGATAACGAAGTTAGACTCTTTCAAGTACCAAAGATTCATCTCCAATTTTAATTTTAACGTGCCTAACCACCAAGATTCAATTTAAAAGGAAAATACGCATGCTCTTGCGATTAATCTAGGATCAAGAAAGAAAATTTTGATCGAACGACAAAAGGGAGTGCATTACATGAAAACTCTAGTATCAAGAAAGACGAATGAATCTAGGATCAAGAAAGACAATTTTGATCGAACGACAAATGGGAGTGCATTACATGAAGACTCTAGTAGATTATGAAGAAGGGAAAATGTCATGGGAGACTCAAACTTGACGGAAGGAGAAGGGAAGACAGAAAGGAATTTATTTGTGGGTTGAGAGAAAGGGGATGACGAAACTCAGTAACAATTATGTTTTATTTCCTCCACAATGTAAAACAAAACACGAACGAAAGAAAACTAACATTTCATGGAAAAACCACAATTATCTAAGAATTTTTTAGACTTTTGAAAATGAAACCTGAAAACAAAAACCTTGTTCAGTAATGATTACTTAATATGAAAGCTCGGTGGTCTAATTATCATATTTTTAAATTTAATTTGTATTTACATAATTGTACCATATCAGCAATTTGGCATAAAAAAGCCTATCAGAGCCTAAGTCATATAGACAATTTTAGTACTACAAAACGCTTGAACAACCATTTCAACACAAAATGTGAAAATATCATATCATTGACTTTTTTCGGTACAAACTCTGGTAATATTTTTCAATTTAATTAATATAAATTAACAACAATTCTCAGATTAGGTGAAAACAAATTTGTGTGGGAGGTTAAACCTACTTTTTAGTAAAATAATTACATAAATTTTAAAAATGGTTAAATATTAAATCCTCAATTTTTGCTGGTAGTTAAATATTAATTACCACTTTTGCATGTGACCTTTTGACAGTTACATAATTTAAAATGAATTGATTATCATAATTAAAGGATTCGTCTCATTGAGTCATTTCTCCATATTCCTTCCCAATCTCTCTACAGTCTACAGTAACCAATAAATAATAAAATTAAGGGTAAATACAATTTAATAGCCAAACCTTTCATTTTCAACAAAATAATAACCAAATCTTTTAAAAAATATTTTAATAGCCAAACCGTTAACTTTCCATTCGATCAACAATTAGTTGACTCTGACGTGGCAAATCTATTGCTGAGTTGGATTACTTTTTATGATGTGGCAAAAAATACAACATTTAAATTTTATTAAAAAAATGAACCACCTTATAATCCGCCACCTGCTCCACCTTTCCCAATCCCCACACCCGCACCCCCAAATCGACCACCGCTTAAACCTCCATTGTTTATGATCCCATCACCTGCTCCGCCTCTCCACCATTCTCAATCCCACCACCGATTCCCCATCCTTACCTATCCCACCAGGCACCAAGCCACCACCGCCAGCTCCACCTCCTAACCCGCCACCGTCACCAAACCCTTTGCCCCCACCAGCTCCTCCACTAAACCTCCATTTTTTTTTCTTTAATAAATTCCCATGTCGTAAGATAAATATTGTAATTTTTGCCGTATCATAAAAAATAATTCAACTCAACAATAAATTTACCACGTCAGAGTCAACTAACTGTTAACTGAACGGTTTGATTATTAAAATATTTTTGAAAAAATTTGGCTATTATTTTGTTTAAAATAAAAAATTTGACTATTAAATTGTATTTACCCTAAAATTAATTTAATCTCCTCCGTTTATCTCTTTCCATCACAAACTTTATTATTTTCAAAAAACATCAAATTCCTGATTTGGCATAAAAATATCCACAACTATTGATACCCGTGGGAATCCGATCAACCGGGAAGGGTAAAATGCAAGTGTGTGTTCAAATTTCATTGCCCAGTTGAGCGAAGATCGGCAGTAGCGCCCGCGTGCCCGTGAGAGAACTGTAAAGGAACTTTCTTTAGCATAAGCACATTAAGATTAGTCTGGTGCGGACGACTAATGGAAGAAATTTCAAAGACTAATCTGTAAATATATGTTGAGTATGCAATCAAAAGTATCCAAACCACAAAAAAATAGAGCCATGAAAATAATCAAAAGTGGGCAAAGCTCGATCTCCTAAGAGCCTTGAAAATAAGATGATGGGACTCATCAAAAGTGGGCAAACCTCCATCTTCATCCAAAAACTTGTAGAGCAATTTTATATGTTATAAAGAGCTCAAATTTAACATACGTGATCTATCAAGATATACAACTCAATCTCAATTGAAGTAATTAATCTAACATCAAAAGATCGAAGATCGAAACAAACCTACCCTAAGCCGGCAATGATTTTTGGCTTCAACTCAATCTTAATTGAAGTAATTAATTTGACGTCAAAAGATCGGAGATCGAAACAAACCTACCCTAGGCCGGCGATGACTTATGGCTTGGATGGAGGTGGGCAGTCGATGTGGGTTTTGAGTCATTATCTACCATGGTGAAAGATGGCATTGTCCTTGGAACTCTGGTGCGAGCTGCAGCCTGGAAAATAAGAAATTCAAAGGATGCGAGGGAGATTCATAGACTGCTACGATTCCAATCCAGGTGCGGAACAGAAAGTCAGTAATGAGATGCGAACTGGTCTTTTCGAAGGCGCTGCAAGTTGTGTCCCTGCGATGTAGGTGAACAAATCCCCATTATAGCTTTTCGTATGAATTGAGATATATCCAGTCATGTATTTCGTCGAACACGTAAAGGGGAAGTGTCAATCAGACAGGATATGGCGGGATTACACTCCTGATTCCTGAATGAACACATAATAGAGATTCGTAAGACCACAAAGTTCAGAAACTATCAATATTCATCAGAATCAGACAAATAATTATAGAAATTATAGAAATCTTTTGGAACGGATAAATATGGGCAAGAGAACACTAAGGAACATTCTATAGGTTATTTTTGACCGGCTTAACTTCGACCAAGGTGACTAACTTCCAATTTCAGAGAATTCCAAGAAATATGATGGAGAAAGACCTTACTACTATGAATCCCGCGGAGCTTATCCTTTTCATATTTCTAAAAATTATAGCTTTTCCAATATTGAAACAAATTTGAATCACCGGCTTTCCTCCTCGATTATCAGGAAGATGCTGGAATGATAGCCCTCCTGGATTATTACGAAGATGCTAGAATGATAGCTTCCTTCCAACTTCCAATTCCGTGCAACTTTTCATGCCCGTCTTTCCCTCCAATTATTAAGAAGGTGGTGAAAGTATATTTTGGAGTAGGTGGGGACGGAATGGCAGATGCAAAAGTGGCAGGAGATCTGTGGAGTTGGGTAGGGACAGAGCGTACACCAATAAAGAACAGAGAAGGACATTACCAAACACAGTAAATAAGAAGAAAGCAATACGACTATTCAATGGAATATTAGCAGGCTTTCAGCATACCAGGTAACCCCATACCCACTGCAGTTGCCGACTGCAGAGCTTGTATCCGGGAATAGAATAACAGATAGGAGGAGGTCGCTGGAGAAGAGGAGGTAATTCAATTCGACGACCTATTCTTTAAAGAACTTGTGTAGAACAATGGAGAGGAGGCTTGATATCTCAAATATGACTATTGAAAATAGGTCCAAATCAATTAAAAATATTTTTCAGATCAAGTGAAGTAGGAGCAACAGTTTGTTCCACCGAGCTACTATACATATAATACATGCAGAACCTTCAGTCATCATTCCCTAATTGGGCGGTGTAATGCAAACTCAAGGTAGTAAAATTATGTTGATTCACGATCCAAATCACAGGAGTTGAAATATATCACAACTGTAGCTCGCCCAAAAAACAAAGACTGGAACTGAACATGATTTTAAATCACAGTCCTGGCATTTTTTGGATTCATTTTCCAGAAGAAGTTAGTTGAAACACAACCCACATTTCAATTCCCCCATAATAAGCGTAGACCCTCACTTCACCGGAACTAAGCATGCATAAACAAAAGCAAAATAGGAAAATGAAGAATCAAGGGCGGAAATCGCCGGGTACCGGAATTTTTCGGTGGTCGCTTCTAGATTGAAGCCCAAGTATAACAATCAGTGTCAGTTGTTGGTTGAGAAGTAGTGGCTAGAGCTTCCTGCAGCACGACATAACAAATCAAAGGCAAAAATCAAATGAATCGCAGCAATCACAACACTTAGGTCACAACTAATGGCAGAAATCACAAAACTGAGGTTGGACGGCGTACCAAGTCGTGGTTGAGATTCCTTTGGGGGTTTCGAGGTAGAGATGATACCAGTTTGTTGGCGGGGGGTCGTCTACATGACTTTGGCCGAGGAGGAGAGAAGGGTTCGCCGATCGGCTAAGAGAGCAAGGTCCGATGAGAAAGATCTCTGCGCCGGTCAGTTTCTTCTTCCCTTTCTAGAAAGAAAATGCAATACCATACAGGTCTGCGCTGAGAAAATTGGTTATGGGCTGGAAATAGAAGAGGGCCCATGGGAAAAACAGGCAGGACTGAAGAGGGTCGAATTGCATGATAGAAAAGAAAGTGCAGCGGGCCTAGTTATGGAAGGGTGAGTGGGCAGAGCTCAAAAACGAAACGCACAGCAGAATTAAGTTGGCTGGAAAAGTCATTACTGCCCTTCCGTGAATCAATCAGAGAGCTCCAATTTCAAAATGCTGAAAAAGTGACCCATGAATATGCTTCATATATTTTATAGATTAGCATTTTCAAAAAAACATATTAGCTATAGATTCAATTTTAGTCTTAACAATGCGAATTTATCAGCAATTAGGTTATTACTTTGAACTTTGAAGTTAGAGAATCTAACAAGATGGACTATCAAAGTTAAGTAAGGTTAAATTTTAAGAAAAAAATATTCTTGAAATGTGAATTTATAAGCTGAAGTATTTAATTTATTTAGATTGAACTTTGAAATTGTTATTGAGGATCGAACCCACATACCACATGACAACAAGTCCACTACGCTATAAGCAACAACAATGAAATTTCAGTGCACGGTTTAGTTATTATATCATTTGTACTTTTTACATAATTTTCAAAGAACCCGATACATTTAGACGTGATACATTTACACGTGATCGTCGAATCCTCTAGCTCCACCCCTGCATAATTGTAAGCGTTATTTTCGTACGATACCCTACTAGTTTGCAACGTGAGCAAGGGTCGCATCATCTGCTGCAGAAGCTGCTGAGCTTGAAGTTTGAGCCTTTAGCAAGGTTGCTACATGCCTGGCAACCCACATAGAGCCGACTTCAGTGCAACAGAAGCTGTGGGAATGGCCCTCCCTTTCGATTGCTAAGGGCACCTTGGGGACCTGCTTTGCAATCTGCAGACCGGCAAAGAACGAAACAAACAAACAATCGAAAACCAAATCGATCCATTAAGCCACTCATCCTAAATTACATTCTCTAAAAGGATGCAACTTTCAGAACACTAACTAACCTCCTCATATACTTGCAAAGGCCCCCAGTGGTCATGAGCACCAAACATGAATGCCAATTTCCTGTGATTCTTTCTCATGAACTCCCAGTCCGGTTCCTGCGAAAGCTGACATAACCAAACACCCGCGATTGTTATGTTTTCCCAGGACTCATCATCTTCAAAAAGGAGTAAGAGAATCTCACCTGCTCTAATTCTGTCTTTGCCATGTAAAGCATGTTCCTGAACATATGGTACTGTGTAACAAATCAAACCAACCCGAAAAATCATTAAACTTCATAATACGAGTATTGTTTAACACGCACACGATACCATCGAGATGGATGACAAAATTATAGAACCATTGTGGGAAGAAAGGAATCTTTTGATCTACTGTGGAGAAGAGAGAGCAAAGGAAGAGACTGCACCTTGAGATAATGAGCATGGGCAGTCTCAAAAGCAGAACTAGACCATGACCATGACCTCTTGCCAATAACAAACAGTACCAGCATGTACTGGGAAAACCACTTGGGAAATAATCCAGCAAATGCTGCCATCAAGCTCATCAGTCCACAGAGGATGGAGGATCTGAAAATTCAATTCATCTTCATGAATATGTCGAAATCAAGAATAATGGTATCAGAAGTTCCCAACCGATTAGAGAATCAATCTCCATCATTTGAACTGCATATTTTCCAGATTTAACCAGCCATGCCTTTGCAACATCAAGCTGTAGCATACTACAACTACATAACCTCGATATACGGACGAATCAAGCTGGACAAAGATGCCAGAACTGCAAGAAATAGATATGTTAACAGACATACCTCGTCATGTTTCTAACTTTAGCCTGCTTCTTTGATAGAGGATTCACCATTATAAAGGGGTACAGCCCTATGGTATATATCACCTGCAATTTGTAAAGCAAGAGTAACATATCAAACGGTTAAACGGGAGTAATGATGTGTACAAGATGTAGCTTAACCCCAATATCCATCTTTACCATGTCTCCCTTTCTCCTCAACATCTCCATCGTTATGTAGGAACCAATAGAATGCCCAACCTTCACAAATGTAGTTTGGTGAGTTAACAGGAATTCAATTCCCAAACACAGATTCAACAGTAATCATTATCATTCAATTCAAGGAACGGAAATTAGAAACAGAATAATGATCGCTACCAAAACTATGGGAACTTTGGTATCTTGCAGTTCCTGGCAAATGAAATCCACCTACAAAGAGGAAACATAACTCATAAACCCAACAGTTCTTCAGGAAAAAGGAAACGAAGCTCGAGAAGAAACACAAACTTGTAGATGAAATGAAGCATGCAGATGAATACCTTATGATCAATTTGTTCTTGCAAGGAGAACAACTTCCCATTCTCCCAGTTCTGCACATACAAACAAACATAGGAAGGAAGCTATCACATAATTCGAGTCAAGTATAACATACCAAAACCCAACTCTACTTTGATGTTACTGTGGGTATAAGAGCAATTCGATATGTGAACTCTAAGGCCTAAGCACATTTACATCATGAAGCTAGATGCAACAGATATCAGAAGTAATAAGAAGAACCACTTTGCAAGCAAGTACATGCCTAGAATTCTCATACACCTACCTCTTTCGTGTGACCGATGTATCCAATGGCTGTGGATGAAGAAACACAAACAGTCAGATTTAGATTCTGCCCACAGCATCACAAATCTCATAACATTGGATCAACATGAGACACTAAATAGAATTGCCTGTAATGGAAGCAGTCCCTCCTAGTGAACCGTACAGCGACTCCACAAAGTCCTTGTAAAACGAAACTATACCTGTTGTAAACAGGCAAACCCTATGGGTTAATAATACCTCAGATAACAGCCACAGGAACATTAAAAACGTTACCTGGATTCCCAGGGACAACGACAACATGCAATGTCGGGTTATCAGCTTCAATCTCTAGCAATTCGGTAGTGTAACTGGACAGTAAAGAAAAACACAGATATAAAACTAGATACAGAGCCACCATAGCTAACAAGTTGTACCATATATCCCCATAAGTTACCTAGAAACCTTGCACACCCGGAAATTCGCAGACTTGACAACGTTAGGGTCCAAATCCTTACTACCCATTTCCTGAAAGAACCAAATCCAAGTCCCTTATTCCTCAGAGTAATTAAGATGTTCCAAAATGCAGCAGAGGCAGAAACTATAAATAACTAGGAGAAAGCACGTAACGAAGAAGCATTCAAGCAATTGAATCCGGCTGGGGTTGCATTTTGAGGCTTCGGGGTATGTGTGCAAAACAACAATTTCTACGATGACACATCCCCCACGCTACGACAGAAATCGAGCGTTTGGCAACTGAAAGACATAATCTGCTACAAAAATGTGCCGATTTAGTACCCAGTGACGGAGACGCAGCAACTGGAAGGGTGAGAGAGTGAGACATGATGATGGATGAAGCAAGAAAACGAACCTCCCGTTGTTTTTTGTTTCCGTCAGCTCATTGCTTTCCATTGACGAGGACGGATGTCGGCTTGACTTGCATTGCATGTAGCTTCCTTCCATTTATGAAAGAACTGAAACAGGGGACCAAAGCTGTGGCTTCAATGGATGTTAGAAAGGTATTGAGGCCGGCGGCAACTTCTGGGCTTTCCTTTTCAGAAAGAGTTTCACTGTTCCCCGCCGATGAAGAAATATGAGAGATGCATGTTGTAGTGGTTTAATTACATAAATAAACTAGCTTTTAAGCCAGTCGATTGTCCATAACTTTTATTATGTTTGTTTTAATTAAAAATTGTTCTCTATCTATAGCTATAGTTTTGGATGGCTCCTTGCTAAGGTCAGGGATAACCAGTCAGTAGACTGGAGTAAGGTTTAGTGGTTGAGGACAATGTAGTCAAAAGCAAGTTTCGATGTATAAATGTTTTGGTGATCTAGAAGCGTAAAAACGTATAATCGTAAGTTTTTAAGTTTTAAAGCACAGTTTTTAACTACGTAAGTTATAAGAACTTAGATTTTGTGTAGAAGCGTTTTAGTGACCTAGAAACGTAAAATCGCAAGTTTTTAAGTTTTAAAGCGCGATTTTGACTACATTGGTTGTGGGTTAATCCCGTTGAACAATATCAGAGGGAGAAACTGCAATGGAAACAAAAATCTCGAATCAAATGGTTGTAGGAAGGAGATCGTAACACAACATATTTTCATCTGGTTAGTCATGTTCAACGACAAGCTAATATTATTCGTGAATTGGAGGGTGCGAACGGAATTTGGGTAACCTCTGAAGAGGATAAGATTAGAATTGATGTGCAGTATTTCGAGGGGCTCTTTTGCTCCCATAGCCTAGGTGGAGTCGATCCACTTAGCTTTTTCTTTGCTTTCGTATGAAAATAAGATGCTCACATTTTTTTATGTACTCTTGCCATTCTGAGCAAGGTTGGGAGATTGTTAAGAAAGTATTAGGTTTCAAGAATGGGGTTATGTCATAGCAATCTACATAGGTTGCAAGTGTTATCTCAATTGAAGACAAAGAGTTCGGGAAATTCATGGAAATCTCGTTATCCATTTTGATGGTGATGTGGATTTATGTGGTTTGATGAACTCTGACTATGTGAATTATCTGTATAATTGGGATAATGGACACCGAGAAGAAAATTTCATCGAGGAAATATTGAAACAAAGTTCTACGTGATGGATTGGAAAGTAGAGCAATGGTCGTTGTCTAGTGCAAAAAACTACATGCAAGTGTATTTCTCTTCTACATTTAATATATATCAACTAAGGTCTATCCCAGATAGACTATCTACTAATACCAAATTTTCTGCTATTATTTGACCAATTTCAAGAAATGGTTTTAATTAACTAAACTAATTGAAGAAAGAAAGTTGAACCAAATCACTCATACACCAACAAAGATTCACATATTGATACAAGCATTATCCAAACTTAAATCCCCCTAACTAGTTATCATGCATCAATCAAACACAAAACATATCTAATGTTAATTCCTTTTATCATTGGAATTTCCAATTCAATGTTAACTCAATATTCTCATGTATTAAAACCCCTATCAACTAGTCATATAATATACTTGATATTAAGTTTCACCTAATTCAAAGGATATATAGAGGAAAAACAACCATCAATATCTATATATATATGTTGCATGCAATAAATGAAAATAACATCCTTATGGTTTATCTCATCCCAACAACGTAAGAGTTAAGTTCATAAAGATGATAAAAACAAACAAAGAAAGAAGAAACTATATCTATATGGTGGAAGTCATCTTGATTCCAATCAACAATATAGAGTGTAACACTGGGGGAAAGATAACTCACTAGAATGACAACTCGAAATTTTCATTTTGAAAAATGTCATTCTAAACACTCACCAAATGGAAGGGAATAAACTGAAGAGCTTTGGAGGTGGTATTTTCAGGTTGAGCCCTTTTGGCTAAGAGTCCCGAAGTGCAAGGAAGTTGTTGCTCAGTTCTGCGAACCGTATGGGGATGAAAATATTATAAATAAATTGGGATCTTTCAAAATCAAGCTACTAAGAATGAGCCCAAAAAGATTGGAGACATACAGAGGAAAATTAAGAAAAAATCTCTTAGCTACCTCTAATACCAACCAGACCAGACAAGTTATCGAAAATATAGGGTTAATAAGCTCAACAGATGAATCTCATTAACTAGACAACATTAATACCAAATCATAAATGATGGATTGGCTTAGGAAGGGTATAAAACACAAAATTATTTCACTCAAGGCCACTGCAAGATAAAGGAAGTAAAATTTAGAGCTACAATATGATATTGAGAGATCCCTAAAAGATCAAAAATAAATGCAACACTTTCGGAAAATTCATTATCAACAAATTATAGAGCGATCCATATTCATAAGTAAGAAACTGGCCTTAACTGACAAGACGCATTTTGGGCGAAATCGAGGAGTTCTTGTAAGACTCCAAAGTTAAACGTGCTTAGTATGGAGCAGTGAAAAGATGGATAACCTCCCGAGAAGTCACCATGATGCACCCCAAAATTAAAACCTTGTCAGTGTAGGCCCAAAGCAGACAATATATTTTTCATAAAAGGTCGGGATATTACAAGTGGTATGAGAGCTTCTCCGCCTCCCTCTTGAATTGGTGGGGTAAACCTCAATAAGGACGTTGATTCCCCGAGGAGGTGTGTGTAATACCTTAGGAAACCATACATCGACAAAGCATGGGAGAGATCCATGATTCATAAGTTAGAAACCGATCTTACCTGACAAGACGCGTTTTGGGGAAATGGAGGAGTTCTTATGAGACTCTAAAGTTGAACGTGCTCAGTGTGGAGCTGTGCAAAGATGGATGACCTCCCAGGAAGTCACTATGATGCACCCCATAATCAAAACTATGAGAGTTTAGCCCAAACACAATATCTTGGTCAGAAAAGGTCGGGATGTTACAAGTTACAAAATACGTTTTTGATTTTTTTCACAAACTTCATGTATCAAAGTTAAACTATGCTCTATGCAAAGGAAATGTTGTGTAATTGTGTTGCATGCTCTTGTCCATCAATATTTCATTTGGGACCATCAATATGCTTGAACTAATAGCTCACTCACTACTTTGTGTCAAAAAATGCCTAGAACTTTATTGTTATTTTAATCAATTTTTTACCGGCATTTCCGTGTAATAAGAGGTAGGGTCATAAAATTCACAAAACCTATAGAGTACTTTTTGCATATTCTGAAATGCCATATACTAATAAATAAATAAATATTAGGATAGCAATGAATTAGATAGAGCGTCTTCCCTTCGCCTTCCCTTCCCTCCAATTTCAACCCAGAATTTTGACGTGTCAAAAAATGCGAGGATGTGTCTCTGCCAAAAAATTTCTTCTGTTGTTGGAAACTCCGCAATTTCCCTTCCTTTTCTCATTATTGCTCTTTCTTCTCCATCCCCCAAATCAAATAACTAACTATATGGTTGTCTTACTTTTCTCCCTTTGCTAGACGACGAGATAGAGCATCTTCCCTTCGCCTTCCCTTCTCTCTAATTTCAACCCAGAATTTTGACGTGTCAAAAAATGCGAGGATGTGTCTATGCCAAGAAATTTCTTCTGTTGTTGGAAACTCTGCAATTTCCCTTCCTTTTCTCGTTATCGCTCTTTATTCTCCATCCCCCAAATCAAATAACTAACTATATGCTATATATAGCCCACCTTTCGTTCTAATATTTCACCCAAAATTTTCCTTATTTTTTCCCAATAATCTTCTTCTTCTTCTTCTTCATCTTTTGATCGCAGTCTGGGCCTTTAGTCTCACGTTTCTGCGGATGCCATTCCTTGCCCTTTCTTAATTCGCAGAATCAGAGACATTCTTATAACATATATAATAAAAAAGGTGTGGATTTTGGATTAATTATCAATTCCCTTCACGTGTTTATCTATTATGATATCTGGATTGTGATCTCTTTTTCTCTTAGGGTGCAGTTCTTCTTGGTTCCCACCTTTGCAAGTTCATTCGTTGACATTTAGAGAGAGAGAAAAAGAAACATAAAGAATACAAAAGCATATTTCCGGTACAGAGGTGGTGGTGGAAATTGTCTTCCAACTTCTTTCTTTTTCTTGCTTTCTTGTCCTTGGTTTATGGGCTGGTGTCAAAGTACCAATACTGAAGAAGTATTTGTTTGAAATTTTCAGAGAATTTTTTAAACTTGTTTTGGAAGGTGGGGAGGTATTGCATCTTCAGGCTTTAAAGGATGTTGGGAGATTTCATAAACAGATGCCTCTTGTATGTAGCCTTTTAATCTTCTCAACTTAGTTGTGGGCAATGTAATTCTTTATCCAAAATCTAAATAAAGGGGACTTGTTTTGTTTATGCAGGTTGTTTTTTGGGTATGCATACCCGGCATTTGAATGCTTCAAGTCGGCTGAGAAGAACAAAATCAACATGGAAGAAGTCATATTTTGGTGTCAGTATTGGTAAGTATGATTCTAGGGGTAGCCTCATTTTCCTGCTAAATTAGGCTTGCCTTTGTTTCTTGTATTGGTCATCTAACAAAATTATTATTGGGTGAGGCGGGTTTCTTCCTTATGAAAATCTTGTCGTTTGTTACTTTCGTTCTCCATCCGTTAAGCCATCATTTCATAACTGAATTATGAAATAGGATCTTCTGACAGTGGTGTCACTTTATGATTTCATAGGCCTCTTTGCATTAATGTTTTAGTCTATACTGGAATTCGTGGTATCTTTATGTTTTTGTTCTCCATCAATAGATGTTTGAGATCTTTATAGTCATGCAAGAATATTATGAAATGAAAATTTTGTGTTGCAGGATCATTGTTGCACTAATAACGGTTTTTGAAAGGTTTGGTGACTTTTTCTTGTCTTGGTAAGCGTACTAAAACTTAGCATAGTAATTGTAAGAATACAAATTTCCAACACATTATTATGTTAACTTGGACTGAACTCTTGGTTTGTGGCGAAGGTTGCCGTTCTATGGAGAGGCCAAGTTGGGATTTTTCATTTGGTTATGGTATCCCAAAACCAAGGTAAGTAAGGAGAGAATATAGTCATAAGAAGCTAAGGAAT